CTTGTACTAACCATTCCTTCATTATATAAATTTCTATTTAAATGTAATATTAGTATTAGCCTTTGACATCATCATTTTCAAACAAATAATGCAACCACCTAAAGGCTTTGTCCTTCCAAACATGGATGTTCATGATCCTCGTTGGACTGGTTTCTGGCGCTCAGAAGAAAAAACTTTAGGTAACCGATATATTGCCAAATGTATGTACTGTGATGATGAACAATCCGGAAGACCTGAGAAGCTTCATAGCCATGTTCTTACTTGTGACAAGTGGCCCGCTGATAAGAAGAGCGAATATATTTTAAAAGATGCTTCTAATCTTCACAAGCGAATTAGAGCTATGCCTGTTAATATTCAGGTTGAAGGTTCTAATACTACTAATAGTAGCCTTTCTGTATTGAAACAAGAAAGTTTGACAAACTGGGTTAAACCAATATCACAAAGCCAACAAACAAAACTAGATAAAAAACTACTTAATGCTATTATCTATGGCAATCTTCCTTTTACTTTTGTTAATAATCCCTACTTTGCTGATTTTCTTAAAGATTTAGCTCCAAACTATCGTTTGCCTTCTACATATACATTAAGCACGACAGTTCTTAACGCAACATTTTCTACTCACTTGGCTAAAAAATTAGACACAATGGCGAATTTAAATGATATTACTATTGTACTGGATGGATGGCAAGACATATCCGGTAACTCGATTTATGGGTTTATGGCTCTGAAGGAAGACCAAACATATGTACTTGATATTATTGATTTATCGGCAAATCGTCATACTGCTGATTTTCTTAAACAACAGTTTGAAAAAATTCTTCAATCCAATTTAGTTTCTATTAAATCATCCGTTATTGCATGTGTGACTGACAACCCTTCAGTAATGGTCAAAATGCGAGCCGATCTTAAAAAAGACTATCCCAATATCGTTCCAATTCGATGTTGTTTACACTCATTTAATTTACTAGCTAAAGATATTGCTGGTTTTCGAGATATATTGCCTGTTATTAAAAATAATCGAAAATTGGTTAATTATTTTACATCATCGCATATTTGGCTTCGGACTCTTAAAGATTGGCAAAATAAGGAAAAAATTAGTCATTCGCTTACCACATTTTGTGAAACTCGTTGGTATTCCCTCGCCAAACTCTGTCTAGGGGTATCAGCTTATGAAAAGGCCTTTCAACATTGTATTGAACTTAGCAAAACTACAAATTATCCTCCTATTAAAACAGACCTTCAGGAAATTATTACTAGTCGTTATCATTTTGCAAATAATGATACGCTTGTGACAATACTTACTCCTGTAGTAAATGCGATTGGTTATCTTGAGTCCAGAAATGCTACATTAGCAGATATTTTTAAAGAATTTATTAATATTCATTATATTATTTCTACAGCTAATATTCCTATTTATGGATTCAAAGACCATGCCTTAGCAGCTATTGGAAAAAGAGCCCGCGAATTCTCTGATCATATCTATTTTGTCGCATTATTTTTATCTCCAGCACATAAAAAAATGGCGATATCAAAAAAAATGTCTGAAGATTCCATTATTAAAGCAAGTTTAGAGCTTGCAAAAACTTGGGGTTTTGATAAACAAAATGCTACTGTGTTATGTAAAGAATTGATTGATTATAAAAATGGAAACTATCCATTTAACAAAACAAAAAATTCTACTAACATTAATCCTAGAAAATTTTGGACGGAATTTACCAGTGGTTATCCTATTCTACGTCAATTCGCTATGAAGATTTATTCTATTGTTCCTCATACAGCAGATGTTGAGCGGCTTTTCTCTGGCTTAGGGCTTATCAAGACAAAATCAAGGAACAGAATGTCCCCTACCGTAATGGGAATCCTAGGAACACTTCGTAATGAACTAAAAAATTTATTATCTAAAGAACCTCAAGATAATTCTAAAAAACAACTGCTTTCCAACGTTAATGATGATACTAATAATAATGTTGATATCTTTTGGGAAGAAGAAATGATTAATGATGAGGAATTTGAAGACTCAATAGAAGAAATTGACATAGATATAGATCATGGTTGGTTATTTTATACCCAAAGTTTTATTCCTATATTTTTTTTAAGTTAGATTTTATTAACACAAAACAGTATCTAAATTCGATCATAAATATATAAATTTTTACTTACAATCTACTTATATTATCACAGAACTCGTAATGGAAGAATTCTTCGATTTTACAATTTTTAAACATAATCAAGAAGCGGTAACAGAGGAGGAATTAACAATTTACTCACAAGATACCAGTGTCTCTGATAATGAATGGTCTGTTGAGGATATTATCAACAATTAATATGATTTCTAATATAACAAGTAACCTGATACAAAAATACTTTTTTTAATATTTATATAATGTTTGTAAAGTGCATGTATATAAATATACTACCTTTGTTCACTATAATTCGCATCGTTACCATTTCGTATTCTTTGATTCAATGGTAACCTACTGATATGAAGAACTGTAATAGTATATTATAACAGATTCATTTTACAAGCTACAAACTAACCTTGTGATGTAATTGAATATTCGAAGGGTTGGCAAATTGGCAACTAATCGATTTAATACGTATGTACGTACGTACGTTGTGAAAGGGTAAATTACCCTCTTGAAATTACTGCGGCTCCTGACATAGTATGAATTCTGAAAATTCTAATTATTATATATAAGAATTCCAGAATTCCTAATATTATGATCGTCAAAATTCTCGAAATATATAGATATTATTATGTTAATTGCTATAATTATCCGTATTCCTAATTAGAATAGTTATTATAGTTAGTAAAACAAATATATACTGTATATCGTAAAATTTCCCTCGAAATAAAGATAATTCTTGGAGGTCGAAAACTTCGAAGTATTTAGTAGAGGCTGTAGTCTCTAAAAAGTCCTCCCTTTAGCTGTTAGATTGTATATTCTTGTTCCCGTGTTTCATATTTTTGTATTGAGCCGTTAAATTCATTACTTTTTGTCCTTAAGATTTTTCGAATATCGTAATTTCGTATTGAGTAAGAGAAAGAACCTTGATTAGTAATCAAGTCTCTTATATATTTAAAATGTTACTGATTAAATCAGTGATTCATATATATGTAATTCTATTCAGCGATTTCAGCATCACAAGACCTAAATGTAGTACCTACGAAAAGAAGAAAGAAATTAAAGCATTAGCAAAAGTACAAAAAGAATATCAAATCACTTTAACAGAGAGTAATAGAACATTTATCTAAATTAAAAATATCTTCTCAAGCCTTTTTAATCTTGATTAATTATACCAAGTCTTTTATCAAAGTCTTACTATTATTAGGGTTTGGTTTGAGTAGTATAGAAGCTTAGTGTAGAATTGTGTATTAGTGTAGAGCTTAGAATTAGAGACATTAGGTCGTTGGCATGCCATAATAGCATATCTATAGTCTGTATTATTATAATATTATGTTTATAGATTTTTTTAGCTGTTTATTTATATCTATGCTTATGAATATCTATGATATTTATACATCTTATTGCTTAATATATATTATTAAAAATATATAATTATATGTAAAATTTAATAATAAACATTTTTACTTAATATCAAGTTATTATAATAAACTTTTGATTTATATATTAGATATATTGTATTCTTGATATCTATATGTATAACAATCATAGCTATATTAAAACAATAATTTTTATTTTAACTAGACTTATAAAAAAATTTTCTAGTCAATTAAATTAATACAATCTATTCACATAATATTGAAGTTACCTGATTGGCTTATAGCATGCCATGGCATGCCATAGTACCAAATTAGAATTTGGCATACCAGGTGGCATGCCAAGTTTTTTTTACCATGCCTCGAACCTTAATCCTAAGAAGTCATTCATTAAACAAAGAATCTAAACTATTCTTATAGAAAAGAAGAAATAGCCCATGATAGATATTTACCCGAACCTGTCAAAAAATAAGAAAGAAAAGGGCTTGAAATTAAATTCAAATAACATACAAAAGAATCAATGAAGCGACAAAAAAATTGAGCTTTATACTTTCCAACCAACAAAGAGCCAAAGGTGCATTCACATAGTTTCGATCTATACCACATCCTAAGAAGTCATTCATTAAACAAAGAATCTAAACTATTCTTATAGAAAAGAAGGAATAGCCCGTGATAGATATTTACCCAAACCTGT